TGAAGTTAGGACATGCTGTCCCCAATGCAGCTGCGTTCTGGGCTGGAGGAAAAGGCAATTTGCAGATTAAAGGAATTTACAGGTTACTGAAGTTAAGCCTATGGCTGTTCCTAACGCAGCTGCTTTCTGGGCTGGAGGAAAGGGCAATTTGCAGGTGGAAAGGGTCTAGTGCCCGGGAATTTATAGGCTATTGTAAAGGGCCTTTATGGCCACTGTAAGAAGAAAGAAAGGTCCGTCACAGGCTAGAATGGCCTCCAGAAGCAGGAAAAGAGCTTGTCTTGAAGCTGCAGTTTGTCTTTCTAAAGTGCAATTTTAAATTCTTGATTTCCCGATCTTTCTACTAGTTTTATTTCTTCTATCCTACCTCATATAGACTAAAATTTACATTCAAGATATCAGTGAGTTATTTCATGTGAATATGAGTGCAGCTAGTAACACATTTAAAGTTTAGCTTTTATGTAAGAGAAAAGTTTTAAGATAAATTTTCCCAGATTAGTTTTTAAATTGAGACTCAATACACATACATGCATACACATAAAAAGGATGGAGTGTTGGACTCTTAGTCGGAGGGTGATCATAAGAGGCTCGTTTTATTCAGTAGTAAAACTTTTCAGACTTGATTTTGGATAGTGAATATTTTTAAATATTTCCTTTAACAATATTGAATATTAATTGTTAAAGATGATATTATTTCATCTTAGTATTTGTTATAGGCAGTTTGTTTAAAATTAACAAAAATTTGTTGTTGCCCTTCCCTAATCATTAGCTGATTTGTAATCAAAGGAACACTTATTTTTCTATTCTAAAACCCTTCTTTTGCTCTGTTTCAAAACAAGATTTTCTGAAGATGTGAACAGAATTTGAGCTGTAGGAGTGAATTAAGGCATAGAATTGAGCTCGTTTTAACAAAGTTGGTATATGAATAGAAACAGTTGGACGAAGTAGTAAATACTTGTTTTTTCAGGTTTGGGTCATTGTGGTAGGGCTGATAGAGTAGTTATAATGGCTTGGAGAAGAGAGCTATTTTCTCAAAACTGCCATAACTAAAAAATGAGTGAAGAGTCCCACATTTTTATAAAACACGTGCTTTTTTAAATTGCTTTAAAATAATTTTAAAGTTACAGAAAAGTTGCAAGTAGAATACAGAGAATTCCTGTATATCTTACATCCAGATTTGCCATATGTTCATAACATTCTACTATGGTTTCCTGTCTTATTTTTTCTAAGTAACTTGAGAGTAAGTTACAGACATAATGTCCATTAATTACTTTAAGGTATACATTCTAAAATCAATGTCATTCTTTTATGTATTACAATATTGTCCTTATTAAAATCACATACAATTTTTAATTAAACAAATGTTTGTTTACTTGGAGACAAAGTATAGTTGGAGTGAAAGTAGATTTTAAGAACTTTTAGGTGCTTAAAAGAATTAGCATCTTTTATGAATAAGAAATTAATATAGAAAAATTAATTTTAGAGTAAGATTGTGGCATAACGGGGTAACACACAGATACACAAAAAAATGTATGGTTTAGGAACATGAAGAAAGCAGTCATTTCAAGCTAGAGAATCAGGAAAGTACTGGGTTAATGCAAAGTCAAACCAAGATGAAGTAAAAGTGCTCCGCCAAAGGACAGTGGGAGGGAACTCATTTCCTCTCTCACAATTTGTCCTTGACCATGAATGTGAATATGTTATTGCAGTTACTCAGTGCAGAACTATCTGGAATGTGTAAGATATGATGGGTTTTCTTTCTTCAAAAGTTAGTACAGTAACCTTTTTTCCCCTTTTAATTGTCAAATTTTAATCTTAATGTTACTAGGTTGCTAAGAGTTTTCCCCTCCTAAGCACTTCTCCTTAGGTTGTTTTTCACTAATATCTTCTTGATTAGGAAAGACAAGTAATAGAGTTGATTGGTTGAATTACTTTAAAGGAATGGAAAGAATATTTTTAAAAACTTAATTTTTTGTCAATCTAGAGTTCACAGGATAGTTACTGGTTTTTATATTATCTGACATTTACACATTAAATGTTAATGTGTACGCTGTTAATATGTACAAAGTTACCATGTCATGTACTACTGAATCAATCAGAAAAGGCTTTACAAGGTCTTATGATATCATTTTCATTCTTTGACACTTTAAAGGAAAGAGTAAATGAGATACATTTAGAAAAGATAATATTGTAGCAAGTTTTTAAAATTTAGTAACTGAAAATCATTTATGAATATTTAGTTTTCTTTTAGTATTAGAATGAGGTTTATAATGAATGCCAAACCATGTCTGTGTAAAAACATTATGAAATAGTTGAGAGTCTTTATTTCTTAAACAGATGTTTTAAAACTTTGTTTTAAATTTATATAAATTTTATATGTAGATTTTTAGTTTTCATTCCATTGCATTCACATATATATCTAGATGATGTTTTTATAATGTTTATATTTGGCCTTTTTGCAAGCAGATTTTAATAATAGAATTTCAGACTAAATGTAACACATTTTTCTTTTGCATACTGTTACTTTTTGGTTTCTGGTTAAAAGTAAAGTAAGGAGATTTTTAGATCTTTGTCTTGCCATCTAGTTTCTTACCATCCTTTTCTTTTTAGTAAGGAATACATTTTGAAAGCTCTGTACTGAAAGCACTATCATTTATATGAATTTTAATTAGAACGTTAGATTTTCTCATCTGATTTTTTTAGTTCTTGCGCATGGTATTTGATTCCTTTAGTTAATTACATGCAAAATCCATGTGGTCAGGGAGTAGAGGCAGGAAACCTATGGGGCTACCATCTTGCAATTGCATCCTTGACAGAAGAACACAAGTACATCTGGAGCAGGCCAAAAGTACACCCACTTTCTTCAATCTCTGGTTTTAAAC